ATATAATATAATATAATATAATATAATATAATATAATATAATATAATATAATATAATATAATATAATATATTATAATATAATATAATATAACTATAAAAGATTCTAATGAAATCATTAAATAAATCCATAAAAACTAATAAAATTACATTGGTAGTCTAATCTAAAGAGTGGAATTACTCGATCAAGGAGTGCTGATCAAGGAGTACTCGATCAAGGAGTGCTCGTCCTATTCTCACTATTGATAATTTTTTATTATACATAACACCGGTGAGCCAGAAAATTTAGATTTTAGGTTACGGTGGTAGAGCTGCCAGCTTAGCAGCATCAGGTAGCACTTTTTGGTTCATCCTGAAGCTCACCAAGCAGTTATGGTACAGTGCTTCCCATAAAACTTAAATAAACTTTTCGATTTTACTTCAAAATATTTAAAATTTTACTTTAAAATGTATAGAAAAATTTATCTTGACGATAATTATGCTCAACGTCTGACGGGATTTGCAAAATATCACTGTTGCACGGATATAATTACTGTTGTACTCATTAAGTAAATTAATTAATTCGTGCAATTCATTTATGTATTGTTAAAAACTTATCAATTTCACATCTTTATTCCAACTAAAATTTCTTGGTTGTAACTTCTTGGTTGCAACTTCTTAGACCAGTCACGGCTTCGATATTTTTTCCTGTAAAACCTTTCCAGGGTTTCGTTAAGGGCTTCAACCAGTCGATATTTATATCAGAACCTTAGACGACCCTATAATGTATCCCAGGGGAGAAAATGAAACACCTTGAATCAATTATAGCCCTGGCCACGTCGTTATATGATGGATGATTTCGATGAGTTATTTTATTCAAGACGCTGCCGTACGGATGTCATTTTGAATCCGTACGATTGAATTTCAGATCTTATGTCGGTGAACCATTTTTTATAATTATCAGACATCCGCGCATTTACTTTCAATGTTGTAGGTTTTGCACATCAAGTATCATATTAAACTTCGATGATGTGAGCATGTTTATGCAACGTAGCTTCAACCAAACGAATTTTTCATATAATTTTCAATAATGCTTGACACTTTTTCTGCAATAATCATATCAAGTGAAGAAAAATGTATTTATAGTTATGTAACTAACGGATAACCTAAAACTTTGATAAAATAAAATATTTCGGTGATATTTATGTCAAGCAGGAGTGATAAGAAAATTATCTTCATCCTCAGCACGATAAATAATTATGATCTCGAATTTCTGTGCGATGTTCTAGAATTTTGTAATAAATATTGTATCAACCCAACATTAAACAGAATATTTTTTATGGCTATAATTCTATCCGATCAAGAATAACTTGAGTATCGTTAAATCAACCTTGCGCAAAAACTTGCGTATCGTTAAATCAACCTCGCGCAAAAACTTGCGTATCATAAAATAAACCTAGCACAAAAACTTGCGTATCGTAAAATCAACCTTGCACAAAAACTCACGTATCGTAAAATCAACCTTGCACAAAAACTTGCGTATCGCAAAATCTACCTTGCATAAAAACTTGCTTATCGTAAAATCTAACTTGCGCAAAAGATTGCGTATCGTAAAATCTACCTTGCACAAAAACTTACCTATCGTAAAATCAACCTTGCGCAAAAACTTACGTATCGTGAAATCAACCTTGCATAAAAACTTACGTATCGTAAAAACAACATTGCATAAAAACTTGCGTATCGTAAAATCTACCAACCTTGCACAAAAACTTGCGTATCGTAAAATCAACCTTGCACAAAAACTTGCATATTGTAAAATCAACCTTGCACAAAAACTTGCGTATCGTAAATCAACCTTGTACAAAAACTTGCGTATCGTAAAATCAGCCTTGCGCGAAAACTTGCGTATTGTAAAATCAACCTTGCACAAAAACTTATGTATCCTAAAATCAACCTACCTCGAAACTGACAACTCCTTCTTGCTGTGGGTCCAGGGTGCTAAAAACGAAAGTGGCGTACAGGCTGCTGATGGCTGCACACAAATATTATTAAGGTTAATTACATTCTTCAGGCGTTAATTAAATATTCTCAATGCTAAATAAATACTATTATTGTTACATTAATATATCTAATGTAAGTTAAATATTCGTAATGTTCGCAACTATAAGTAAATATGAACTAAACCAGGAGTTGCCTTCAATTGATGATCCTGTAGATTAGGCTATCTCGTTATCCAGAATATCGTTGCATCAAATGCCGTTACCCTGAATATCGTTGCAAATTTACATAAAAAAATTATTTTTACCAGAGACAGATCTTTTCAAGGCTTCTTTTAACACAGCACTGAAATTTCGCTCTTGTTTTTAAGTGAAGTGAAATTAGAAATTTTATCTTTCGAAATAAATTTAAAACAAGTTAAAAGTTAAATTACTAGCATTTTGCCAAATTCCTTCCTCGTGTTCACAAATGTCCCGTGTTTACTCAGTTGAAAATATATTTTCTGGTCAAGGTAATATCCCAATACGATATGTAATGGGTAGCATACATTTAAGTATTTGGGTATTAGATTCGAATAAATTTTAGAGTTTTGGAATCTGTGATATAACTATTTATCACAAATTGTCAGTTAACACATCTATTTTGATTAAGTAGTACATGCAGCGATTCCAAAAAATCTTCACGTGAAAATTTAATTTCCTTAATAAAAAAGAATAAATCGCTTTAAAAATTTTGTAATGAATCTGATCTTAAGTATGTTTTTTAGTTTCCTCTTTCAAACTTTAATTATTGAAGTGAATTAAGCTTGGTGCTCCTTTCAGTGCAAATATGAGCAATCTTATTTTTTATTATATATGTATCACATTTTCACATGTCCTTCCGGGCACAAAAATTTTCTGTAAAAATGAAGAGTGAGAAAGCTTGCATGGCCATATAGGCTTCCTCCATATTGGTCAGCCGTCTTCATTTGCCATTGGCTAATGGAAGCAAACTGCGTGACGCAATCTCGAGGTGACCTGCTAGATCGTAGCTTTAGCAGAATATGGGGCTATTTTACAGAAAAATGTAGACCTAAACCCTTTTGCAAAATTCTGATATAAATTTCACTCGTATATTTATAAAGCAATATTTTTTCACGTTACATACTTTACCCGCCGATGTCAGTTGCGAAAACTATAGGTACACTTACACAAAAAAAAATCATGGGTCATTCGGCCAAATTGTGACAAGTTTTATCTATAGTAGGAGCAGAGATTTTACCTAGCACTGATAAGTCCTTTAAGTGGGCAGTAATGGGTCAGGATTGCGCACACAGAGGCAAAAAATACTTCGCTATTTGAACAGAGACTCACGAATTTCTCGTAGTGCACTGTTTCCGTAAATTTACAATGAGAGGAATGAATGAGGCTCTGTCCAAACAACGATGTACTTTTTGTTTTTGTGTGAATCATCCTTAACCGGTCCAGGTACAAAGGCGTAACAGCGCTACGTGGAGAAAGTGTGTCACTATTGGACAATATGATTCATTAATTTTTTAAGAGTTCCTTATGTCTCATAGACGTCTGCATCGCTCAGGGTGTTTCAAATTCGGGACAAACGGCACAAAATCCCCACGGATGAAATGAACCCGGAGCTGAGTCCTTAGCTTACAAATAAACATTTCGATCCTAGACGTGAAATTCTAATAGACGAGCATAGCTTACGATCATCGTAAGATGAAACTACCCTCCTACTTGACTCATGTACCCAACCTAACCTAACCTAACATAACGTAACCTAACCTAACCTAACCTAGCCTAAGACGATTTTTTGTCAACTAGTCAAGAAAAGTACAAGAATCGGCGACAGGCCTATCCAGGCCTATTCTTCAACGCCGATCCGAAGATACTATACTAAACTAAGTTTATGCAGAACCTATTTTTGATTTTGAGTGCATAACGTAACATCTTTTCAGGTTAAAGTTCAGGATGATATGTAATTCATAGTACACCTGTAGCAGGCGTGAAGGCAAAAGAATTTCCTGTACAAAACCTTAATTATTTTCTCTTCAGGATTTCTTCCTTATTTTTTCACTTAAGGCATTCTAGAACTGCATACCTTTGATAAAGAACATGTCAGTAAAGTCTGAGACACGTAATTTATACGCAACTGCATAAAAATTTCCGATATTTTTCATTTACTTCATTTTTTCATTTAGCGTTAAAAAAACAATGGCATTCAAGATTTATGTGTTTTTAGCGCATTTTCTTATTTATGGAAAAAATGCACTATTGTGCTCGCCATGTCCGTCCGTCTGTCTGTCTGTCAGTCGATCCGTCTGTCCGTGACCTCAAGTTTTCGTCGACGAGAAAATGCGCTTTCTGTCACTCACTGCAGTGAGTACTGAGTTATATTTTTTTTGGTACTATTGTCGCAAAATTGTCGTTTGTTCCGATCTCTTTTGCTATGCAAATGCATGTCAGAAATCTAATTTCCCTCTTAAGTTATATTGAATTTCATTTCATTTACTTCATAGGAAGCGAAGACAACATTTCGGAAACAATATAATAAGTTTGACTTCTATTTTAGGTCTGCGGTTGATGTGAACAAAGTGTCGCCAAATGGAATGCAATACGAAACCGTCTGCGACGATGAAACTTAATGTGCTGAAAATTTATCATTTTCGCGTCTCCAATTCTTGGGAAATGATGTTCATTCACTCATTGTACATTGGTATACGATATTTCCAAGAAATGTGCCGTTATTCTATTCTATTCTATTCTATTCTATTCTATTCTATTCTATTCTATTCTATTCTATTCTATTCTATTCTATTTTATTCTATTCTATTCTATTCTATTCTATTCTATTCTATTCTATTCTATTCTAATTGCACTTGAACTGAATCATTCAGTGAAGTAGAGTGCAAAGAACTCGGAGTGGAGTAGAGTGCAGAGAACTGAAATTGTAGGAAAATGCCCAGAACTCGGAGTGAAGTAAAGCGCACTGAACACGAAGTTAAGTTGAGTGCATAGAACTGGAAATTCAGTAGAGTGCGTAAACTCGGACTGGAGTAGAGTGCTGGAAATTCGTATATTTTTAAACAAAAACGCTTGAGGGTCCCGATTGCAAGCTGCTAGTCCTCATTGAAAAATATAGCCGAAATACGCAACAAATTTGTGAACTTTGGTAATTTTCTGGAACTATTTGTAACATTTCAAACTCCATGAAATTTAATAGTTATTCACATACTGGAGTGAGATCAAATCCTAATTAGTCCTCATTATAAAATATAGCCGAAAGACGCTAAAAAATTTTGAAATTCATGAATTTTCTGGAACTATTTGTAATATTTCAAACTCCATGAAATTTGATAGTTATTCACATACTGGAGTAAGATCAAATCCTAATTTGTGAGCGTTGAATCTTACCTCCTAGATAATCTTCCATGATTTCGCTCATTCATCTCATTCACTCGCCTCCAAGCTCAAGTAAAAGTGAAAAACGCACTCGTTTATCGCTGCTACTCAAGAATGGAAACGAAGCGCTCTATTTCCTTCTCAATTTGGGTCCGGATTTCTAAAAAAAAAACACTGTATTTTTTTCAGGGAGTTCCTCGCTGTGTAACCGTCGCTATTATTATAATGAAGCAGGATATATTTTTATTGCTCCTCCGGGGCGAGTTCCTAGCAAATCCTGCCGTCTTTTGATCCTTGACGCTCGTTTTTCAATCCTTTCAGACGCTCTTGTTTTTCCAGGGGCGATGTCTTCTTTGAAGTTCTGGCATTTGATGCGAAATTCAAAACAATGGTTTGATTATTAAATGCAATGGACAATCTCTATGACATAATATTTAGTTGCATGTTAAGATTAATAGTTCAGCTGTGATGTAAAGGATTCACTGCTAAATTATTTCTTGCAAATACAAATGAAAATTTTTCCTTTGGTATTATTTTAATTTTTATCACACTGTAAGATAGTTCACGCAGATGTTCGTTCCTTAATAACGGACGCTGTAAATTCCACTAGCTGACAGTAATTTAAAATTGATCATGATTGACATTCACTGAAATTTACAATCATTAATATCTGCTCATACACTATTTACTAACTCATTCATTTCGGTTCCAATTAAAATTCAGCAAAATATGTTCTCATAGTATGCGCTCCTGTCAAATATTCGTTCAGATATAATACGCCGTCTAATATTTTAATAATCCGCTTCATGAATATTAATAATAGATAGATACATATTTAAATAGATAAATAAATATTTAATAATCCTTCTTATATAATATACGCAAATAAACGTCCATTGCATATCATGTGTCTAGTACAGGAATGCACCACGGCAGCTTTACATTACTAATAAATATGCTGCGCTTCTGGCATAATTTCGACACGTTACGACTACCTTTAAGGGCTTCATTATTCCCCGTCTAAGGTTACTAAGGACATCATCCTGAACCCATAAGGCCATGATACTGCATTCAATGCCGCAGGGTTGATTTTAAATGCTGATCTCTGAATTAAACTTAAACATCCATATATAATAGTTGCGTAAATATAATTTTTAGCAAGAAGGGTCTTTTAATTATTTTTATTAATAAGGGACTAATATTAATTACCTTTTTAATTGATTTATGTTGAATTAGATATCGCTTCTCATTGCTTGATACTAATAACGTGCCCAGTACACATTTATTAAAACATCGCCACTCATCAAGTAACGTTTGATACAAACGTTCGATATAGACATAATTTTAATATTGATTTATGAACACAACTCCGAAGTGTTCCAACGATAAAGCATTAAGTAAATATGATTTTTCTAATATCTCTGGAATAAAGTGTTTTCCCTTAATTCAAGTCATCGGAAGCTCTTAACTTTACCTATCATCGACAAAAATAATCCGGCATTATCTAGGATCATCTGTGAATGTTTATTTTACATTAAATGAAATAAGGATTTCGTCCGAAAGTGGGTTGATACAACACTACAATAGACTATCTTAAGGGACTATGACCAACGCTGCATCGCATTGACGCTCTCGAGGGAATACCCGCTACCGTAATATGAGTTAGAGGGAAATGTTGTTTTTCGTATATTGTTGAAAAGAAAAGATTTAGGAAAGAACAATATTATCTAACGTTCAAGAATTTACGGATCTCCATATTGTGAAAGGAATTGATATTTAACCGTAATAATCACTCGCAACACTCTTCACTCTGCTTATTTTGTCCTTGTTGGTCGCACTCCAGAGATACATTCACCACACTCACCCTTTTAGCGCATTTTCTCATTTATGGAAAAAATGTATACTATTGTGCTCGCCATGTCCGTCCGTCTGTCTGTCTGTATGTCTGTCCGTCCGTGACCACGTTTTCGTCGACGAGAAAATGCACTCTCTGTCACTCACTGCAGTGAGTATATACTGAGTTATATTTTTATACGTTATTACGCACAATTATTACGGATCGTCATAGTCGCCTTCTCTGATACGTACATTAACCGCATTCAGTGTCTCCAGAAATACATTTGTCGTACTCACTATATTAGTACTCGAGAGATAATCTTCCCTCTCGTTTAAATCATTTACTGATGTCGCTCCTAACAACCTCGAAGACAGTAGTGGCGGCCAGTACAACATTGTTCACGGAGACAGTAATGGCGGCCAGTACAACATTGTTCACGTAGACAGTAGTGGTAGACAGTACAACATTAAAGTATTAAGTGCGACTTATTTTGATACAAGTGGCCTCTAGTAGACGGCTACTTCATCCTTCCTTGGCCAGTAGCGCCAATACACCAGGTTAATAACGATAAATAGTGGCGGTAAGTATTAGGTAAGTATTAGGTAAGTATTAGGTAAGTATATTAGGAAATTGGACTGGCCACCGCTGCTGACCACCACGATTGTACAAGCACCTTTTCAGTGCCAGTTGCAACTCCAATTTCATTTTGAAAAATTTAGTTTATCTTTTCTTTCAACCTAACAAAAGCGTTGCTGCTCTTACTTATTTTGGAGAAAATCTGACTCTACTTATCTATGCATGTATTAAATAATTTAAATTTTTATCATTTCTAAAAGATATAGCGGTGTTATTTTCTCAAAATATAAGATGCATGACATTCGTATGTCTGAAACCCTTACCTCCTCTTGAAAGATCTTACTGTACATTTCTCTCAGGAAATATTAAAACTATTTAATTTCATTCCAGCTCATAATATATTTGATTTAATACAAGTTCAATGGCACATATCTGCATTTGTAACTCTTACCTCCTCTAGGGAAGATCTGACTGTACATTTCTCTGAAAGCTTCTTCAGTTACGACTCCAGTCGGACAGAACTCCTTGAAGCTGCGGTACAGTCGCTGTATTTGACTCTTGCTAAAACGCGTGTCTCGACAAAGTCGCGTCAGGGGCTCGGGCCTGTACCGACGTTCCTGTTCCATTTCCTCCATTTCGATGCCTGGTAATTCAAAGAGAAAAATTATAAATTCATTTTCTCCGTTTGATACATTTATATGATTACTTCTGTTCCCTTGTCGTCGATTACCCTTGCATGGTATGTAATAAAAAACTGCAATAGGTTATATTTATATGTTAGGCAAATTTGCATCGCTATTTCCATTTTCACCGTTTTCATGTATGGCAATTAAAAAAAAATAGAAATTAGTTATTTTTACATGCTATACAAAATTGCATCGCATCCTTACTTCCATGTATGGCAAGGCAAAAAGAAAGAGCAGAAATTCGTTATTTTTACTTGTTATTCAAAATTGCCTAGTTTCCATACTTGGAAATTCAAAGAGACAGAACAGAAATTCATAATTTCTACATTGTATTCAACACTTGCGCGCTAGTGCAGCTTTTCCTATTTCATGATATCTAAAACGAATCTTTCGATTGGAAATTAAATTCCATGAGAGCAATTTTCCCGTTTTTTTATCTACCTCAACTTTATCTTTAAAAACATATAATTTTTTCCAAAGTCTTTTATCTAATTTTTGATTATTGATGATGCATTCAACTCGACTTTCTACACTTAGCATTTCAGAAACCTGGTGATGAATTCAAAAATGGTTGCAAAACCCAACTCATTATTTTTATTTATTTTCGATCTAAAAAATCTCATTCAAACGGCCACAATAATTAACTACGGATGAAATTTGAACTTCATTCATTCAATTATTTTACATTTTTCTGCAATATATAACAAATATTTTCGTCAGTCGCTAAACAAGGCTTGAACTATGTGAATGAAGAATCTATACTGCAATTCACAGTAAATTGAGGATAGGTGTAGATTTTGCGTTTGCGAAATGATGTAATTCTAAAGCCATTAATACACAAATTTAAAAATTTCACACAAGAAAGTGGAAATTTTAAATTTATCTGTAAAGGCCATTCTACAACTTTAATTCCCAATTTATTTTTCTATAAAATGGGTACCAAATATACTCGCAGCCTGAATTTCTGTTCATCAGGCTAATTATGGTCACATTAGATTGTTGATTTGACTCCTGGTTACACAACAGGCCATTATCTTTCGGTAAATTGATGATTATTTATCTACGTTGATCGCACTCTCGAATATATCGATTTTCCCCAGAATTATAATATCTATTTTTTTGATGTTACAGTGACTGTTTTCGTAAAAATTCTAGCAATTAAGTCTATTCCGCAGAATTACAACATCTACACTCTGTCCATTAAGTATATCATTTTTATGATTAGCGTCCATATATGCATTGAAGCATCTATTTATTTTTTATCCATTAAATGAATCATTTATTATTTTATAGTAATTTAAGGAATAATTTATTAGTTTTTGGCCGATTCATGAATCTTTTTTGTTTGTAGCCACTAAATGAATCATGTATTATTATATATTCAATTTATTAATTTTTTTTTGTGCAATTTATAAATCATTTATTTAATTTTTTTTTTTATTTTTTAAATCAACGGTAATAAACACGGATAACTAAAATGAAACATTATGAGTTGCTTACCTGTAACTTATTTTACCATCTGGTATCTTCTCTTGACTAATTATTTCTTCCTGCAAACGAAATTCAATTCCTAATTTCCAGTAATTGTAACGCTCCAGTTGTGCCGGTAATAAATTTCGGCAATTCCCAAGTTTGCACCGGCTCAGTCGGCAAAAAATTTCAGGGGAATTCTATTTCATTTATTAATTTAGAGCGCGGAGGACGACATGAACAATTTTGCATTGATTTGCTTAAACTGGAAAGAATAAAAGATTTCTTGTGGATTGCCGTACTTGCCACAAAGGATTTTTTTAGTTGTATGAAAACTTTTGAATCATCAAAATAAATAATGGTTTAGAATCATTATTGCAGAGCTATATAAAATAACATAACATAACATAACATAACATAACATAACATAACATAACATAACATAACATAACATAACATAATATAAAATAACAATCATTTCCCGAGTGATCTTAAAATATTTCATCTATTATCATGACTTATGTAATTTTTCCTCCCTCTCCAGCCCCACTCTCCATTCTCTGTCACGGAACTCTCGTTCAAATACGCTCTGTGTTATTCACAATTTCACTTCCCGCAAAATGGCCAATAGAAAAAAAATCTTTAAAAATCCTTCCCCAATATTCACTAAAAAAATCTTCAGGGTTGAACTTGCAGCGGCAGCCGTAAAAGTCAGTACGCGCTTCCGGAAAACAGACGATGTTGAATATTTGAGCTACAGAAATTTTTGCAGCTGGGATAAATGATTTTTTTTTCTTCGCGAATTTTCAGGGTGAATGAAGTATATTTCTTACCATAGTATAATTAAGGGGAAACTATAACATCGTTAAGCTCAGGACTAGCGCTGCTCATGATCTGTGAACCCCGAAACTTGTAAATCCTGTTCTCTTGTTCATAATTTCAAAGAAAAAAATATCATTAAAAATTAATGAAAAATTTTTCATTACAATCCATTATTAACGTAAAACCCTAATTCCAATTTAAAAAAACTTATTTTGAAATTGCAAGGAATCTTCATACGTTTATTTATGTATAAAATATACAAACTTACCTATAACAAAAACCACATTTGAAAATTTTTCACAATTGTAACCATGTAGGTAACATGGTTATGCGTAGATACGGTATATAGAAAGATACGGTAGATATAGAAAGATACGTAGATACGGTAGTCCTAATATACCCGTATTTAAGGCGAAATATCTTCAATTAAATTCCTCAATATCTGTTCTTCTCAACATTTTGCCATTTTTAACCAATCAACCTAATCTTTTCCAGCTCACAATTCTTCCAGAAATTGATCACATTCACTCTCATATCATTCTTTCTCATCATCGTTCCCATCAATTAAATATCATAACGTAACATTTTCACACATCTTTCTTCTCGATGCCATAATTGTGCAATTATTAATTTCAACATATTCTTGTTAACGTATCTCTCCACCTCATTTCCACTTTTATCCCTTTTTTCCACTTTCTTCACATTATCCTTCAACTTATACCCTCTTCCTCCCTCCCTCACCGTTCATCCTCCGCTGTCATGGCGGCACCGATACGTCACGTCAATTATTCAGCACCAACGGTTCGTTATTAGGCCAGAATTATGCCACGCTGTCGCAGCCACCCTCTTCAAACTTGTACCTTTAGCAAGATTCATTGGCTTAAGCTATTTACCTAATTTTCGGATACGATTAGAGCAGCGAAACGCGCAAACTAAAATCAGTGTAAAAATATTGCCAGCATTACCGATCAATCTATCTGTTTGATAAATTTCCAGCGCTAAAGATTTTTTGACACCGATGCGAGTGGGAAATTACCGAGAGTTTACGAATTTTAATGAACCAGATAATACCTTTACGTTTTCTTAAATCAAATTTCAAACAGTTAATTCTTTGTTTAAAAATTCCTATTAGTTCACTCAAAAAGTCATCAATCTTTGCTACGTTTCTGGAGGTCAGATACTAAATAATTTCCAGATGATTGTCTATTCGGGGAGTGCGATCCCAGACGTCCTTCCCGTCTTGGATTTTGCTCCTGTGCTCGTGAAAAACAAGTTCCTTAAAAGGGGAACTCGTAGCATGCCTCCCACACTTCCCCTTGCTTGGTCTACAGCTGCCGAAGAAAGCAAAGGAAGTTCTTTCATCGAGGCCAAATTCGCTCCAAGAATTCGAACACCTTGTCCAAAACGAAAATATTTTCGGGCCCTTAAGCTTTCTACACGACAAATTCTAAAAAATGTGGCCTAAAATTCCGAAAAATGTTAACCTAATTTTAACATTTTTGGCAATGCATCTTCAGAAATTTTTCTTCTTTAGTTTTGTATTCCAAATGCAGTAAACTTCATTTGATTATATATCGAAGGAATTTTAAACTTTTTTATATAAACTGAGTAAATTTAATGATCATATTCATTTAATTAAATCTGCTTTTAGCGGGTCCTAAGTTTTGCTGGGCTGATCTTACTAAACCGAAATGTTATTTTATATTTTTACTTAACCATAAAGCTTTCTTAATTATTTTGCAAATTTGTGTAAAATCCATTTTATTCTCATGACAGCATCACGAAAATGTGTCGAAAAATATCCTAAATATCGCCAGATTTTCGGCATCTACGGCTCGTAGCTTCTGCCTCCTTTAAAAATTTCTATGCGTAACGATTATGAACTATCATAAATTTATATATGACGTAAAAAACGATCATTCATAACTATTAATACCGGAGCTTCCATAACTATTAATGTTGTTCCTGGAGCTTCAAAGAGAAGATATATAAATAATAAATATTGTAACAACATTTCTTAAATTTTGTATTGAGCTTTTTTGCGAAATTTTAATGTACTCATTAGGAGTTCAATTGAAACAAATACATTCGAATTAGACTTGTGACGTTAATTTAATGAAGTTACGCATTGCTTTCAAGTCTTCAAAGGCTAAAGAGGTGAATGAATTTGTCGAGCTTTCAAAGTCTTGGGAGTGAGATAGACTTTTCAATATTTTAATGAATAACGAATTTAGGTTTAAATGGACTTATTAAGAAGGTTTAAAATTGAGATATGTGTAGTAAATGGATAATTTACTTTGTAAACACTAAGATTAAAAAACGAGTTATGTAAGAATATTAATAAAATATGTTTATTAACGAAAATCGAGGTCCGATATGTCGATCAGTTCTATGTGCAGAATATTGAAATGACGATCACTATGCATTTGTGTATGAATTCTGTGACTTCTTTGAATTGGGTGTAGGATTCCTTTCATTATTCTATTTTAAATGCAGCTGTATTGGTTCAGAATGCAAATGGCATTTAAAACTTATTTATTTTTCAATAAACACTGCGTTATTTTCAGGAGAACAGAAGGCCTCTGATTGATATAACGAGTTAAAAAATCGTCGTTTCTGTATTAATAATTTTTAATGCTTATTTTTAATAACTAAACGAACATTT